TTAAATTAAATTTTTGACAAGTAAGCAAATAATCCATCAAAATAAACATAAGATTACTAAATATAAATTGAAATGGAATAATGTTTAGTTTGTTAGAATTGATGTATTACTATGATTAAAGTTTTGTCAAAATTTAGTTATCAACCATAGCTAATTCTAAATTTATTTCTTCCAATTTTGATTTTCCATTTAAATTATTATCATAGATAATGCATTTTACATTCTATTCTACTTTGAACTTTTACAAATTGATATTTGATTTTAATTCCTCAAAATATGTGAAATATATTTGATCAGTTTTCTTAATTTTCACTTCTACAATGTCGAACAATCTACAAGTTAAATTTAATAAAAAATTTAAGCAATAAATTAAATTAAAATAATTGGATAGCATAGATTTAATGATTATTTGTAAATAATATAATTAAAAATGTTAATCTGAGTAACTCGAGATATTCTAAATTAAAATAAAAGAAACAATTCATTCACATATTTATAACAAAAGAAAAAAAAATTCGAATTCAAAAAATAATAATACCTTCTCTTTTATCTCAAAAAATAAAATAAAAAATAAATTAAAAATTATAAACATAAATTTTGTCAAAAAAAATTTTTTTTTCTTTTTAACTTCTTAAAGGAAAATTTTGCTTAAATCTCTTCCATATTTTAAAATTAAACAAATAACTTACAAATATTAGCATTTAATAATTTTTCTACTTACACTGATCAATTGTGAAAAAAGAAAAAAATAATAATAATTAATTAATTAATAAATTTTAATTCCATTTTCATTTTCTCCCTTTTTTTCTTAATTTTAAAAGTAAAAAAGAAAGTAAAAAAATACTGCAAAAAAAAAATTTCAAATATTTCACAAAATATAAATTTAAAATGACACATACACACACACATACACACACACACATACATAAACATACACAACAATACACATACATACATAAACATACACATACAGACATACACATACACAAGTGGTAATTTTGAAAAATAGAAGAATTGAGAAAATTTTTTAGTCTCATGAGAGACATCAAGTTAAAAAGAGAAAAAGAAAAAAATGTTTCACGTGTTTTCGTTTTTTTTTAAGTAATCAAAAAAAAAAAAAAAAATGAAATGAAATGAAGTGATATAATTTGAGATAATGCATAGCATTAGCAATCTAAAAAAACAAAAAAAAAAAAAACAAATAAAGAAATGAATAAAAGTAATTCATCTAAAAGTTTTATTTTAAAAATACCCGAAAAGGCAAGATATTCGGGTATATCTTTTTTTGATAAGTGATGTTATTATTACATGCTGAATGATTATTGGGGTAATTATCCCTGGGGAGATATTCATGATTCTAACTCTCCAACTATTTATCTTAATCCACTATTTGGCTTGTCAGTAATCGAACAAATGTCTAATAATGAAAAATAATACTGTGATAAGAGAAAGTTTTTAAATTTTTGTATTAAAAAAAAAATTTATTGTTTTTAATAAATTGATTTAATGATTAGATTTATTGATAAGAATTATTTGATATTTATTTTTGACAAATTTTATTAATTGACTAAAATATAAATGTATTAAGTATTTATTGTTTTCTTTTTTTTTTTTTTTTTTTTTGGCTAATTGATATATTTAATTTGCATCAGTTAATGTATTTACAATTTCTTTAGGTCATTGATTAATTCTATTAATGAATAAATTAAATTAAAGTAAAGAATTCAATAATTTGTATTATGTATTTTTTTTCTAGTGAGATGATTGATTATTGTTTGCATGCATGCATGCATGCATGCATATCTGCATGATTTATTTTGATTATCGTTATGATAATCTTTAACAAATGTCTTATTTTTATCATTTGAAGTTTATTCATTTTCTTTAAATTAATTGTTTAAATTAAAAAATTAAGAACTAAATTGAAAAAAAATATCACACTCAAATAAGCAAACAGTTTTTTTTTTTTTACTTTTTTTGTTTTTTCTTTTTAATTATATTTTATAATATTTTGCTTACTTATCTTAAATGGAATAAATGTTAAAATGATTATCAATCAAATTTGAGGAATGTAAAAAAAAAGTAAAATTCTTTCCTGCAATTAACAAAATTTTTTATTTATTTATTTCTGTTAGAAAAATTTTTTTTTTCTCTTAATTGAAAAGTAAAAAAAAAAAAAAAAAAAAAGAGAAATGCTTTAATAATAATTAAAATAATTGTTAAGAAACAAGAAGAAGAAGAAAATTGTTCCATTCATTAGAATATTTTAAGAAATAATTTTTGCAGTTGTCAATAAGTTAGGATAGAAAAAAAATAAAAAAAAAATTTTTTTTTCCCAATAATACTAAGATTTGTTAAGAGTGAAAATAAATGTAAATAAACAATTTTGATCGATTAAAAAGAATTTTTTTTTTTTTTTAAACTAAACAAATGCGAGTAATGAGAGAATTGATAGTTAGTTTGTTTGTTGTGAGATGACAGAATGAATTAAAATGAAATGTAAACAGTTAATGATATTTCAATTTTAAGTCACATGTATATGTAATTTCTCGAAATAGCAAATAAGTGTTTAATTTAAATAATAATAAATAGAAAAACAAGAAATTAATAATTGCAAGAAATTTGTGTCACATTGAAATGAATGAATGAATGAATGATAAAGTTGTTGATAAAAGTTACAATTTAAAAAGTGCAAATGATTTATGCAAACATAGAAATTGTATACAAATGATAATTAAATGAACAAAATAATTTAACAAATAAATTAACAAACATATTATTAGCAATAAAATGTGGAAAAAAATAAATAAATAATAATATTTTTCATCAAAAATTTTTGGTTAGACATATTTGCATGATGGAAATCATTTGATTATAATTTGATTGCTAACGACAAGGAAATGTTATCGAAGAAATTCCAAATATATATTTATTTATTCTTTTCATCATTTTTAACAAGCCTAAAGAATATTCTGATTGATAAAAACAGCTATATAAATTAAATTTGTCGTAGAATGTTCATAGCAAGTCAAGAAGATAAGAAAGATTGCTTCATTTTTTATTAAACAAGGAAAAAAGGTGGAATATTTGATGAAAAAAAAACGAGAGAGAGAGAGAGAGAGAGAGGGAGAGGGAGAGAAAAAAAAAAGGGAAGGAAGAAAATATTTGGTAAAATTTTAGGCAAATTTTTTTTGAATTTATAAAAGTTCCATTTTTTGAAGACATCGTTTTTTTTTTTTTTTTTTTGCTTTTTTGTTTTCTTTAAGCGAAAATTTTACGCACATTTTAAAAATGATTGAACTGAAAAATCACACACAAAAAAAAAAAAAAAGAAGAAAAAGAAATTGTAATAGCTTTTTTCTCATTTTAGTATGAAATATTAAATTTACTAAATTACATAAAGAGAAACAGTGAAAAATAAAATTTGATGATGCAAAAATGAAATTAGCAATTGGAAGATATCAGAGATATTTTAAAGTTTTTTTTTTTTTTTTTTTAAATTATATTTTAATGTTAGAATGTGAAATCAAACAAAAAAGCTATTTTAATTTCCGATTTTTTTTTTTTTTGTCACATTACTATTTTAATTTTCAATTTGGATCAGTTTTGATCTAATTTTCAAATTCAACAAAATAGTAAGAAATATATTTGCTTAAGATAATTCAGTTAATTCAATTAAAAATTTTTTGATATACAAATGTGACAGATGATGACATTAAGTAGTGATATTAGCAAGATAAATGAATTTTATTTATTATAGAAATGTTACAAATGTTAATTTTGTTTCTTTTTTCAATTTATACAAAATTAAAGATAAGTTCAAAATATACCGCAAATGATAAACTGAGGATAAAAGCTAATTAAATTTAACATTAATCAAATTCATTAATCATTTTTTTTTTTTTTTGGTCAAATTTTTATATTATTTTAGTTGTAAAAAGTATTTTCGAAAGTTTTGTTTTTGCCTTAAAGACAATAAATTTTTGAAAATATATGTGAAAATAAATTGAGCACATTTATAAATATCGCATTTTTTAGGAAATTTTAAAAATTCCTAAATAAAATTTAAAAATTTTTTAAAATGAATGGGTTAGAGTACATGGAATACGATAAAATAGTACTAAAAATTTCAATTTTTTATTGAGATATTCATAAATGCACTCAATAAGTTTATTTTTTATTTTAATATTTATTATTTTAATAATTTATTAAAAAAAAAAAAAAAAAAAAACCGATTTATCTTTGTTACAACTTTTAATTGTTACAACTTTGCGCTTTTTTGCAATAAATAATAAAATGAAAAAATATTTATTCTTACAAAAAAAAAAAAAAAAAAATAAAATAATTTTTGCACTTCTAATATTAATTACTCATTAAAAAAAGATATGAACTTTACATTAATTTTTAATTTCAACAACAATTAATAAAAATTTAGGAATAAAACTTAATTTATTAATATATATTGAAAGTTTCAAATTGTTTTTTTTTTTTTTAATTTAAATAATTCTTTAGACTTTTTCGTCATTTCATTCATTCGTTTCGAAATTTATTAAATTTCATAAGTCATACTATAATTTAAGATACATTCAAGAAATGATTATTGCATTAAAGCAATTTTATATTTGAATTAAACCTTTTAAGCTTTCCTATTTCAATTTTAATTTTATATGGTTTAATTCATCTAAAATAAATGCAACTTCAAGCATACTTCAACCTTTTTATGACCTTTTCTCTTTTTTTTTTTTTTCTTTTTTCTTTTTGTCATACTTCTTAAGAGCTAATTTAATGCTTTTTTTTTTTCTCTCTTTTCAAAACTTTTATTGAGAATCATATCTATTAAATTTTTTTCATTCCTTATATTTTATTTTGAGTGAGCAAAATTTTTGCATTTTAGAAATTTCAAAAAAAATTTATTAGTACTTCAAAAAAAAAAAAAAAAAAAAAAAGGAAAAATGAAGTTTGATTATACATAAAATATATTTGCATAAAACTTTGATAAATTACATAATAATACATTTTATTGGAACACGAGGATTACGACAAAGTAACCAATTTGGCAATTTTATTTTCCATTTTGGAAATTTTCGTCCTGTGCCTGAAGAAGGCGGTAAAGGTGGTAATAAATCTAATTCATCTGATGCTGAATCACCATCAATTTCTACTTCATCTGTTAACCTGAAATTAATTTTTTTTTTTTTTTAAAAAAAAGGTAAGAATGAAAATGTAACAAAAATTGAAGCTATAATTTTTTTTTTGTCATACAATTTGAAAATAAAACATTCCTTCCTTCTATCAATTTTTTTCTTTTGTAAAATTAAAAAAAGAAAAAAATGTTTCGAGTAATTCTATTTTTTTTTTTTTTTAAATCCTTAGATACTACTATATATTATTTATAGAACTATGAAGAAAGAAAATTTTTTTTTTTGTTTTTTTTGAAGGACTTTTTTTTTAAAAAAATTTTATGAAGTAAATCACTAATTATGATTAAATATTATTTCAAGAAATCATATTTTTGAATATCACATACTATTCTATTTTTAATAAATATTTGCGAAAAACAAAAAACAAAAAAAGTGAGTAATACCTGGAAATTTCCTTTTGATGATGCGACATGTATGATTCTTTTAATGTATTTTTATTTAATTTTTTATTATTAAAACGATCAATTAATGGATCATCAAGAATTGATTCAAATTTAAGCGTATATGGTTCACAATCTGTTAAAATCTGATGAAAATCATTGTCAAATTCATCACCTAACGTAAATTGTGAATAATCTTCTGCTAAAACACGAAATGTTCCTGAAAATATCAAATTTAATATATTAAATTACAAAAAATTGAAAAAAATTTTTTTGCAATTGAAAAGTTTAAAAAAAAATATATAATTTTTTGTTTTAAAAAAAACAATAATTAAATAAACTAAATTTTTATTTTAAACATCAATTCATTGTATACGACTGGAATTTCCTTCTTAACTATTAATTTCAAATTATTTATTTATTTTTATTTTTTTAAATAATTGTTATAATTGATTAGAAAAATAAAGATAATTTTTGAAAAGAAAAAATTTTTTTTCCATAAAAAAAAAATCTAATAATTGCGATCCAACAAAAAAAAAAAAATACTTAAATTTGCTAAATTATTTAAAACTTTTTAAATAATTTAAAATGAAAAGGAAAAATTAAATTTTAAATTATTTGATATAAAAATTTAAAATAAACATACCATTTCGCCTTTTTGGTGGATTATTGCAAATTATAGAACTATTCGAATTATTGTCAACTACTGTCGTAGATGATGACGCAACTGCACTCATTTTCAGGTGGTTTCTATAACTGATAAATTGTGTTTATTTTAAAATTTTGATTATTTTAAATGAACGAAATCGTAAATATATTAAGAAAATATGATAGTAAACTATAAATTTTTTAATTATCACAGTTATAATTTTGTATCAATTCAAATTACATTTCAGAAATTATGAAAATATAATTAAAATTAAAACTTTCTCAAAAAAAAAAAAAAAAACAAATTTCTTTTGATAACAGAATTTATTCATATAAATAATTTTTTAGTAACAAATTAATAAAAATGAAAGAAAGTTTAATTCTTTAATGTAATTTTATGAAAATACAAAGAAATTCAATGAATTATGCAAATCAAAAAAAGAAAAAAAATCTAAGAATTAATGAATGAAAAAATAAATTATAAATTTTTTTTTTTTTTGGAAACTTTTAGTCTAACTGTTATTGAAATTTTAGTGTAAAATTTTATTTTATCTTTTAGTCTTTTGAAATATTTTGTGTAAAGAAATTTTTTATCATCTAAACAACAATATTTGTTATAAAATTAAAATGAAAGATGATAAATGATAAAATATTTAAGAATAAAATAATTAATTCTCATTCAATATCAAAAATGTCACATTAATACCTGTCATATATATATGTTATAAAAAGCTACTAAGAACAATATATTTTGTCATTTTTTTCTTTAAAAAAAAAAAAAAAAAAAAGTTAAACAATTATTAAATTAGAAAGTAAAAAAATTAAATTAAACTAAACCACAATTCAAAAAAAAAAAAAAAAAGTGAAATTTTTATTATAGTTGGATAAAAATTATATTAGCTTAAACTTTGTGAGTTTATTGTAAGAAATTGAAATAAAACAACGAAACTGGTAGTAAATTTCAATTAATTAATTAACTAATTAATTAATTAATTAGCATATATTTAAGATAATGATAGAAACAAAACACAAACATATCGTTTCTATCCTTTAATATTTCAACAAATTTAGCAGTATTTTGATATCATTAAAATAATTAATACACATTTTTTAATGAACTAGAAATTTAATCCTGCATCATTGATCAAAAGTTTTTCAATTTTCCTTGAAATATTTGAAATTTGATAAATTGAAATATTACAGTATAGTAATTTATTTTTTGCAAAAATTTGCTGCAATTCAAGAAACTTTCAAAATTTCAATATTATATTTAAATTTTAAATATTATCTTATCTATACGATTTATTATTGAATGCAATTCGAGTCTTTTGCTTCAAAAAATTTCACTATTATACCTAACTTAATAAACATTTTAATATTTAATTTGTATACTTTTTCAAGTTATTTTCACATATAAAATTAAGCACTACTTTCCGTTACTTTTATCAAAGTTATAAAAAGTAAGTTACAACCTTTCATCGTATCATCAAAAATCAAATTACGTAAAATAGTATAAAGTTTAATAATTGAGCGAGCTATATAATCAGTAGTATTTATAGTGGATTATTTGAACTACGTCAAAATACGTGTCTATTAAATATAACACGTCTTACGTATTGACGTTTCATAATAGTGCCTTATATCAGAAATCATTTGCTTTTTCAAATTAATATTTTTTTTTCCTATTTTGTAGCAACTAAGAATTTTGACGTAGATAATACGTAAGATAATACTAACGCATTATGATGCGTTAGTATTATCTTACGTAATTTCCACGTAATTCCGATTTTGTTAATTAATAGCAATATATAAATAGCGAAGGCTTTAGTAATTATAATGAAATTTATGTGATAAAAAATATACAATATTATGAAAAAAAAAAGTTATAAATTTACAAATTCCAAAAAGTTTAAAAAAAAAAAAAAAAACTAATTGATGACTACTAATTCATAAAAATTTGAAAATTTTGGAAAAAAAAATTTTTAAAATGTTAAATTTTAATTTATTAATCGCAACATAAATTTACGCTGATTGAACGAAGTAATATTAGGTCCAATAATTAAAAAGTTAATGAATGATATGCTAATATACCTACATATGATACTGGCAATAACTTTTCTTGAAGGTAATATTTAATTTTATAAGTAAAGGTAAAGAAGACAAAAAGTAAAATACTTAAAGTTGTGTATTAAAAAAAAAAAAAAAAAAAAAAGAAAACATTTAAGTTTTCAAAAAATGTTAAAATATTATAATTAATTGCCTTTATTAGTTATATTTTCATTCCAAACATTTAACTTTATTTCGGTTATTCTTAATCAACTCATTTTTTCTTTTTTGGTGGTTAAAATAGTAAATTTTTTTCTTTTAAATAAATTTTTTTTGTCAAACATTTATATTTTCATACTAACATTTTTTTTTAGACGCATTTTTACATGCATATTTTGCATAAATTATGTAAAATATATTGATTTTCATACATTTATAACATTGATAATATTAAGAAATAAATGACTGACAGGAAAATATTTTATGGCCAAAAAGAGTAAATAGCCTAGTAGTTCATAAATAAGAATAAATAGCCTAGTAGTTAACAAATAAGAATAAATAGCCTGGTATTAATAAATAAGAAATAAACAGCCTAGTAGTTAACAAATACGAATAAATAGCCTAGTATTAATAAATAAGAATAAATAGCCTAGTAGTTAACAAATACGAATAAATAGCCTAGTATTAATAAATAAGAATAAATAGCCTAGTAGTTCACAAATAAGAATAAATAGCCTAGTGGTTAACAAATAAGAATAAATAGCCCAGTAGTTAACAAATGAGGATAAATAGCCCAGTATTTAATAAATAAAAATAAATAGCCTAGTAGTACTCTCCAATTTTTATACTGTTATAACAAAATAAATGCCAAAACACTTATGGCAAAGAAAAATAAACAAATGAATAATTTCATAAATAACTCAAAAAAAAATTTTTTCTTCATTTACATTTGATTTTAAAATTCATAAATTAAAGGCTAACAAAAATCTGCAAAATTAGCAATATTAATTAGCATTCAAGAAATTAATTGATAATTGATTGATTACAAATATTTCACATAAAAAATTCCGGAAATTTCTACCTCATCAAATAATACACAGAAAAAGAAAATATAAAAGTAACACTGACTTCCGGATGAAAAGATCAATTTTGAACAGATAAGATAAAATGATAATAATAGATCGTTCTTTTTTTTTTTTGCAAAGGACAATTAGCGCCTTAACTTATCATTACAGAATCAAATGCGCCTTATCATTTTTCATCAGATAATAGTTAACATTACGAATTGAAGTTGTACTGAATTGAAATTGAAATGATAAATGATTGAAAGCATTGAAAATGATCAAAATTAAGCCAAAAATTGAAACTATACACTTTCAAAATGATAATCTAGAATTGTATTTGCAAAATGAATTGTTGTGAAAAATTTTAAATTTAATTCTATCGTTATCAAATATAAATATTTTCATATAAGAAAAGATATTGTGATTGTAAGATGAAAGTGAAACTTTGGTGACACGAATGAATGGATAAATGATAACAGATAGATTACTGATAACAAAATACAAAATAATTGCAAAGAAAAAAAAAACTGAGATTCCATTTGAATATACAACAAAAAAATTTGTCATATAGTAATGATAAATATATGAATAAAATGATAATAATAAATATCAGTAAGAGATTATAAATGATAAGTGAATAAAGTGATAATAATAATATCAGTGAGAGATTATAAATGATAAATATATGAATAAAATGATAATAATAAATTCAGTGAGAGAATAATTACAATGGTATTGAATATTAGTAAAATGTGATTCAGTCTCGAATTAACTCATTGTTATCCTCAATAACTCCAAAATTAAATTTACTATTCTCTCATTAAGCTTAACTTGGGACTTTAAAGTATGTTTATTCTCACCACACATTTGATTTAATTAAATAAAAATCAATCTAATATGACCTGAAATGCACTATGATTACATTTTAAACGCAGTGTTAGTCATTTACTATGTTAAAAGAGCTTATTACGAACAGTAGCATTCATTGACCAGGCTCTTTTCTCTATAGCTAACACAATCCTTGGCCAAATACTCTTCGAGCATCTCTTTCGATCCATATTGATCATTTTCAAAAGATTTGACAACCACTCTCTCTCTCTCTCTCTCTCTCTCTCCAAATCCTTAATGTTTTAGCAACCAATTATTTGCTTTGCTAGCCAAAGAAGATGGACAATTAGCTAATAAAAGTAATAAGCGTTTTGTAAAAAGTACCTATAAACTTTGAATTGTTTAGTAGTAATTGAAAGAGTTACTAAGAAAAGAGAAAGGATGAAAAGACATTTTAAATGAAAGGAAAGTAAGTAAAGAGACAATGTCCTCTTGCAGTCCGCTTGTGGACAATTGTGACAATTCAAATGGACTATGTGACATGCTTGTGAACGAGGAAGGAAGGAAGGAATGATGGATATGCTGAATGTATTGAAGAGATGTCACAACCACTTTGCTATTCTTTTGATCTGATAAAGGTAAAATTCTTCTTTAGCACCAAAAATTGATTGAAAAGAGAGAGAGAGAGAGAGAGAGAGAGAGAGGGAGAGAGAGAGAGGTAACCTTGTCATGTCATGATACTTTATTCGAGACAAAAAAAAAAAAACCACTACTTAAAGAGTAGCAAGAAAGAATGAAAAGATTCATTTTGTCCTTCGATCATATATGAACAAATTTCTTTTTCCCTCTCCATAAATCATTAACTCTCTCTTTCTTCTGCTTCCTCCATCATTCTTTGTCCCTTTTTGTCCTCAATTGGCCAATAATTCATCGATTTAAAAAAAATTCTCCTATATTTCCTTCCAAATTTATATGTATAGTAAATTTGAAGTGAAAAATAACTATCATTAGCAATAATTTGCTATAACAATAAGCTGAAGTTATTGACATATCATAACAATAACAGAAAAAAATTTGTTTACAGTGTATTTAAATGCAATGCATTTAGCTGATACTGCGCAATTAAAATACATTTATTTCTAATTTAACCT